TGTAAAGGTGTTTCAACAAATAGAGGATACTATCTAAACTTTCGCAAACTACGCAATTCAGCATTAATACCTTTTATTTATCATTGTGGATTGTGAGTGTTATTTTATTTGCCAGTGACAAATTCCATTATATTTACATTTAATGGACAATAAAGTATTTTTAATCTGAATCTATTGTCTATTGTATGTGTATTTATTCTATTCTATTTGACTTTTAATGGACATTTTACTTCAACTTCTTATGTTTTATATACATATTTCGATTTGATTTGTTATTGCACAATCTTAATTTAACTTAGTTCTTAAAAGAATATGCATTTTTCTGTCTTTTATTTCATTTGAAAGACATGAAAGTACATTTGAACCCATAAGGACCCACCGATACACGGGTGTCACATGAACTTTAAATGTTCTGGAAAGTCCCTCAGTGACACACACTGAACAGTCTGCTGGGTCCTAGTCCAGGTCATGTGATTTTGTGTTCCCATAACAACATGTCCAAGATGTCCATGTGCCATACTAACGCATGTGACATAACTAGCTACATTTCAAAGCTTCTTTTGTTGTTGCTAAAGGTCAAATTCAAGCCATTTAAGAATTAAAATGCTTACATAACATGACCTTTATTACATTTAACCTGTTGTTGAAACATTTATTGATCCAATTGATATGAAACAAATTAGATAAATATCGCTGTGACACTGATGTCACATCGGGACTTTAACCCTAAACGTTCACAGTAAACCCGGAGTGACATATATGCACAATTCGAAATATTATTATGATCTGCTCAGTTAATTTAGCTGATTAAATTATATTGAGTTAATATGTTCTTATTCTTCAATTCAAAGAATGTTCAAACTAATTTAAACCAAAAAATCTTACTCATTAATTAAGTTAAAAATAAGAGTTATTTTACCATTAAAGCCCAATGTGACATTTGGGTTGGACATTTCAGATATTTCACACTAGGGGGTTTCTTGTCAGAAATGTGTTCTAGGTGGTCTATTTAGTCTAAATTATGTTCCCCTTAATTTCCCCAAATGTAGAAATGGGTCCGGGTTCTTATGGGTTAAATTTGACAAAGTGTGTGTTTTTTTTCTCCAAATTATATTGTAAGTTATTAAAGCTGTAAGTGAATATAGTGAGTAACACGTTTTTTAAGTATTATAAAGTGGTAGTACTAGTACAATACTTGAGTAATTGTACTTCCAACATTGATTAAAATACTTTTATACAAAGACATTTGTGTTGCATAATATCTTTGTTAGAGCACTTCTCTATAAATACATTATTTCCAAACCGGAAGTATTGTGTCACAGTCAAATCTGGTCTGTCACGTCCGTCGCGACCGTTTCGTGCACGCGCGTGCTTTGACAGGTGAGCGCGCGCAGCTGGCCGGTTGCTCTCGCGGACTGACAGATGGAGTGGTTGCTGTGACTCGCGCTCGGACTCAAAGCAAAGACATTTTTTGTATTGAAAAACAGGAGGAAAACAGTTTGAATTTAATCTGCAATGAGAGGGGAACAGATCGAGACTGGAGAGAACTCAACAAACTCGGTGAGGATGAAGGAACTAACGTTACAATATAACACGAGGAATTAACGTGAACACTAACCCCTGTCCACACCACAGACTGTATAACTAACGGTCCAAACCTGTACTAAAAACCCTCAAAGCCTCTTTTAACATCATTTAATAAAACACAAACATTTCAAACATCATAATATTTAGACAGTGGTGGAATCTTACTAAGTAGATTCAGTCGAGTTTTCCATTTTCTCATTTAAAATGTTCAATTTAGGACTTGTACATGTCATGGAGTATTTTTAAGACTGTAGTACTTGTTTAATGCTCAATATATTAAAGCTTATTTTTGTAGCTTCTAAACTAGGGTCTAAATCCTGTAGGCTTAACTAAAATGCCCACTTTTAAAGTTATGTTCAAAATTATTTTATATTCACACTACTAAAAAACACCTTTAAACATTATCATAACATTGTACTTTATTTAATATTCATTACAACATGTATTTAATATGCCTAAACCTTGCAGCTAATATACATGTGCTCCTATATGTGCACATTATCCAAAGATATGTATTCATATTATGCATTTTACTTTAACATTGTTTATGTGAATTTACTGAAAACTCATTCACTTTCTTCATCTTTTCACTTTCTGGTTTGATGATTGAACTGTGACAATAACATGTAATATAAATCTAAAATCAAATCCTAATATTTAGACTAGATTTGAATTCAGTACATATACAATACACTTAACACTATTTCAATTAAATCGTATTTGTTTGTTATTAGCGAGCTAGCAGTTCATATTCCTTTAGCTGCGTGTTAGCTCGCTAACTTACTGCCATTTGGTTTATTTTTCAAAAAGAAGGATGCCTATTTGTTATACAGTTACTATAGTAAACAAATGATAAAAAGCTTCACATCTTAAGCCTGATTTTAATATAACATTTAGACAAGATCGTATTTTATTAACATCTTATTTCAGAAATGTTGCTAGTAAGCTAGCTAGCAGGTAATGTATAAGCTAGTTTTTGGCAGCATATTTGCTCGCTGAATTTCTGACGTTTGTTTTTTTAAAAGTTAACTATTCCAGTTAATATAATAAACATATGCTGAAGTCAATGCTTATTTTAAAGGACACTTCATAGCTGTATATCAAACATAAAAGCTTTTTATTTTTGAATTCTAACAATCAAAAAGAGGATATATTTTGACAATTAGCCTATACTATAATCATCATTTTGCTCTTTAGCCATCCACTAAAGTACCTTTATCAATAAGCCTTTATAATAATCATATAAGTATATTTAGCCAAATGATTTGATGTACTAATAACTCAACAGAATAACATCTTTGTTATTGTTTTACTGTTTGTATGACTCTCTTTCCCATTTCGTATTGACATAGGGATGTGTGTGTCCGAGTGTGTGTCCATTTGAGTGCGAGAGAGAGAGAGACCCAGTGCCTTTGTCACTCAGGTCTGGTGAGTGGAATGATAAACAGAGCCTGTGCTATCCATGTCAGCGGCCCAAAATAGAGGCTAACCAAGAGGGTCTCAGATAGCCCCCCGACTCCATATAAGTCTGCTCAGCGTGTGTGTGTGTGTGTGTGTGTGTGTGTGTGCACGTGCGTGCGTGCGTGTGCGGTACAGCAGGCTTTATATAGCGCCTCTCACTCAGCAGACTTGTGTTATTGCTATACTCTGTCTATGAAGTCAAAACATATGACGGCCTTTCTGAGTCTGTGTTTACAAATGTCTTCATGTTGCACACAACTGGTTTCCTTAGTATATTTGTTGTGTTTTGTTTTCAAGGACACAGTAGGTTCAAGTAGTTTATTTGACATTTCTCTCAACACTAGGTGACAATTCACCTCATAAGACACCTTTTCAAGTCTTCAAACTCTGCATTTAAGGAACAGTTAGTAGTCCAGCAGGAAGGGCCCTCAGATTTTGAGATACCCCTACTCGAGGTAGAACAATTGACAACAATGATTTTTCTTATCTTTAGGGTCTCCCATTAATGAAATTGATTGTTGTCAAATTTTATTTTGGGGGAAAAAATGTTTTTTGGGTTGTTCTTTAGAACTACCCAAATCCCTGAAAAAGAGGCAAATTAGACCAGGCCGAATATGGGAAAGGTGACAAGAAAGCCCATAACTTGAGAATGACAACTCTTTTCCTCTTCAGATTTGCTGAGGTATGAACCAGGTGGCTGTCCTACATCACCAAATAGTCAGACAATTATTTAACTAAAAAAATACTGAATTATAGTCCTGTAAACTTAGCTTTAGTTTAGACGGAAATTGTACTTTTTGGTGATAGGAACATTCAATATATATATATACATATATATATATGTATATATACATATATATATATTTATATATATATATTAGGGCCGGGACTCGATTAAAAAAATTAATCTAATTAATTTCAGGCTTTGTAATTAATTAATCGCAATTAATCGCATTTTTAATCACATAGAAATATTTGACCTGAGAACAGTGAGAAGCAATTTTTTTCACATGGATTTTAGTATACCATTGAATAATGACTGAATACATAAGCTTAAGCAATAAAACATTAGTTTATTTTTTTTCAAGGCTATACTTAACAAAGACCAACAGAAAAGTGGTACACTGGCCATAAAGTGTAGCAATAGCATATTTAGGAATATAGTACATTTCAGAGATTCAGGTAGCCTATAGGTAGGTAGACCTTCTGTAAACTATAACACTTTGTTTTTTAAGTAAAACACAATACTTTCAAGTACATTCAGAACATTGGAAACCCTGACTATTAGAAAACATCTCTCTGATGCTTCAGAGGCCATAACAGACTTTGTTGATTTACCAACAGTTGATTTAAAAAATCTAATCAATTTCAGTCCAACTCTCTCAATAACCTTGGCCAAAACAATAAACAGTTCAACATAAAGTGCCAGTTGCACCAACAACGTAATA